TTCAAAGCTGTTTCAATGCTTTTTGTTTCATTTTGATTTGTTTTTAGCTTGAAACAAAATCAAAACAGCTTTGAAATGAATCACTTGGTGAAATTTCGCAAAGCCCTAGAAATATTCCTAGAAAAGAATGTAAAAAATGAAGGTGAAACAGTATGCAAGTAAGGTTGAAAGCAACAGGTCAACAAAATGGACCAGCCAGCATGTAACTACAAAGAACATTCAGGAAGAAAGCTAGAAATACTTCTCAGATCTTACCCCAGGGGTGAGTCAGTACTCAAGTGAGAATTACCCTCTATGTCAGGGAAGGGGATTTTTGGATCTTAAGATCAAAATATTTCCCTATACTCCTTATGCATTAAAATCCTTATGACCCTTACTCCTTATGATTACAGCCATGCTATAAGGCAGGGTCTGAGAGGGCCCAGTTCCAAACCCCACACAAATCCTCACCAATTCAGGGTTCATCAGTGGGAGGGAGGTGTCTAAATAACTTCAGGGATCTGGGCCCTGATGCAAAAATGACTTGAAGAGGCTTTACAGTCTGTTATATGGGAGGTCAGGCTAGCTGATGATGCTTTCTGGCTTTAACAGCAGGGGTGTTAAGATATGAAGTGTTAGTTTCACAGCTAAGAGTCTTGGAAAAAGATTCAAAGTCCAAATATGTAATCAGAAAGTCCCTAAAGTCTGCCAGGGGTGGGGGAGGAAGGCAGGGAGAGTGTTTTTAACTAGTTTTTAAGAATTATCATTTTAGTTGCGCACTTAGGTTAAGCCTGTAATTTCTGTAAATGGCATGGAATGCTTTTAACTGACTGACAAGCAAAAAGCTCAGTAATAACAAGCCTTTTGTGGTGCAACATGCAAATTCCCAGTTGTATTATGCTGTGATATGACCCCCTTTTTGTCCTTCTCGCTTATACTAGGTAACAACAAAAGTTTAATTTAATTTGCTTCATGGATGAATTTCAAGTCTCTGTGTGGAACACTATCTAATTTGAGCATTTTCCATCTTTCAATAAATCTTTTCCAGAATTTAAGCTTTTAACTTGAGTTCAGAATGTTGAGCAGTCTCTACATTTTTCCACACCTTCCTCTGCTCCTCTCTATCCAGTGGATTTTACTGTTGCAGAGGGAAAAAAAAAATCTGAGCAATTCTCCCATGTACTGAAACAGAGATGAAAAGCCTCCATTATGAGAAACTACAGATGCCTCTAGGTAGTTTCACTGAGATGTTATTCCTGTTTCTGCATGAAGATAAGAGAGTGGAAAGGTCAGAACAAGAGGAATTTCAGCTTTTTTCAGTCCTATGCTCAGTTTCAATCACTACTACTTCTTCTTCCCCCATTCTTGCTAAAGCAAATTCTTGTCCAGCACAGACTGAAATGCCAGGGCAAAGTGAAAATCCTTGCATTCTATTATTGCTGAATTAATGGCTCCAGATCTAACCTGCTCTTTTCAAAGAAACCAGCACTAGAATTCAGGTCCTTTTCATGCGTTTTGCACATCCAAATCATTGCATCTCAGTCCTGAACTCTGCAGGGAAACCTAAGAGTCTACCTTTTGATCTTTCCCTAATAAAAAGAAAACCATCTCCATCTCCGAGCAGGCAGCACAAGGGTAAGCATACCACAGATATCTGTGTGGTCAACATTACAAGAAATATTCCTGGAGGCAGGACTTCTGGGAAAGACATCAGAGCAAGTCATATATTACTTGATCATGGAAACATTCCTGCTTGTGTTGTCTGCAGCCATTTCATCTTGTTCCTAATACACCTTGTAAGCAAAACAGATCCACTCTTGGCAGGAAGACTCAGAATGAACTGGTCATTTGTATAGGATTTGGTGTTGGTGGTTCAGCAGGCAGCACTCTTTCTTCTGGCTCCATAATGAACCAATGCCCCAGCATGACCACAGCACTTGCTGGAAGTGCCGGCATTCTGATGACCTATAAAACACTTAGCCAACTGCTTGCAACATATTTTGTGTGAGTTGAGGTATTAGTGATGGTGTGCTAGCCAAACCTCAGCATGAGCAATTTGATTCTGCCCGCCCAACTTCTCCCTGCAGTTTTAATTGGATACTTTGTCACTTCCTGCTCTGAAGGGTTATATAGTATTTTAGTGGCATGGATTTTTGTGGATGTTATCTTTTATTGGACCAACTGCATAGTTAAACAAGCTTTCAGGTATCCCAGTGCCCTTCCTTGGGTCTCTGGGAGAAAAGCAGATGCAACAGTTGTGCCATCTAGCTGTACTATAACAAACCCAAGGAAGGGTATTGTGATACCCAAAAGTTTGTCTAAGTCTATCCAGCCAAGCAGTTGGAATAAAACTTTTCTGCAGATAAAAGATACCACCCACAAACAGTCTTGCCTCTTGCATATTTTCTGGACCATCACACCAACATTACATTATGCCAACATTTACTTTAACACTACTATAGTATTATACAAAAACATAGAGAATAGGACTATTGTTAAAGTGCCTCTACATTCCACTCTA